AAAAAAAAAAAACAAATCAAGCCAGGTGTGGTGGCACATTTCTATAGTCTCAGCTACTCAGGAAGCTGAGGATCCCTTGAGCCCAGGAGTTCCAGGCCAGTCTATGAAACATAAAGTGATTCTAGCTTTTAAAAAATGAATCTAAGGTACCAGTGGCTCACGCCTGTAACCCCAGTTACTCAGGAGGCAGAGAGCAAGAGGATCGCAGTTCGAAGCCAGCCCCAGGCAAATAGTTCACGAGAGCCCTATCTCAAAAAAAAAAAAAAAAATCACAAAAAAAGGGCTGGTGGAGTGGCTCAAAGTGTAGGCCCTGAGTTCAAACCCTAGTATTGAGAGAAAAAAAAAGTCTAGAGACGTACTTTTATACTCTCACAAAAACTAACCCAGAATGGATCACAGAGCTAACTTAAACACAAACAAAATTCCTGGGAGATAACAGAAGAGAAAACCTAGGTGATTCTGGATGTCGGAATGATTTTCAGACACAACATCAAAGGCATGATCCATGAAAGAAAAACCTCATGGCTGGACTCCATTAGAACTAAAAACTTCTGCTCAACACATGACAAAGTCAAGACAATGAGGCCAGCCAAAGGCAGGGAAGAAACATTTGCAAAAACACACATCTGAACAAAGAACTCTTAAAACTCCGCAATGAGAAAAACAAACAACCCAATTAAAAAATGGTCAAAGTCCTCAGCGGACACCTCACCGAACACGATACAGATCCAAGTGAGCATAGGAAAGGACGTCAAACATCATGTCGTTCGGGAACTGCAAATAAAAACCACAAGGAGATAGAACAAAACCAGACACCTTGTCCTACGGGAAACTGGCAACAATACAATGGCAAGGATGAGGAAGAACATAGCGCAGCGCCAACTCTCACTCCTTGCTGGTGGGAATGCAAAATGGCACAGCCGGGCTGGTGGTGTGGCTCAAGTGGTAGAACACCTGCTTAGCAAATGCAAGGCCCTGAGTTCAAACCCCAGTACTGTCCCCCGAAGAAACTCGACAAAACAAAATCAAAACGGCACAGCCACTGTGGATGACAGTTTGGTGGTTTCTGTTGAAACTAATCTTATCAGCCAGGTGCTGGTGGCTCAGCCTGTAATCCCAGCTACTCAAGAGGCAGAGATCATGAGGATCGTGGTCCAAAGCCAGCTCCCGGCAAATGGTTCGTGAGACCTTATCTCAAAAAAATCCATCACAAACTGGGTGCAGGTGGCTCATGCCTGTAATCCTAGCTACTCGGGAGGCAGAGATTAGGAGGATCAAGGTTCAAAGCCAACCCAGGCAAATCGTTCTGTGAAATCCTATTTCAAGAAACCCTTCACAAAAACAGGGCTGGTAGAGTGGCTTATGGTGTAGGCCCTGAGTTCAAACCCCAGTACTGGGAGAAAAAAAAAAAAAAGAAAAAAACTGGTGGAGTGGCTCAAGTGGTAGAGCACCTGCTTAGCAAGTATGAGGGCCTGAGTTCAAATCCCAGTACACACACACAAACACACACACACACACACACACACAAAACACTAACCATATGATCAACCACTGTTGATCCAGAAATGTTGTTCCAGAAAAAACCTGCCTCTGGATGTTTACAGCAGCTTTACTCATAATTGCTCAAAATTTGGAAGCAACCAAGATACAAATGGATTAAATCAACTGTACGTTCAGACAGCAGAATATTATTCAATGCTAAAGAGAAAAAAAAAAGAGCTATCCGGCCCCGAAAAGACATGAAGAAGCTTCAGTGCATACTACTAACATGAACAGGCCACCTTCTGTATGATTCCAGCTCTCTGACGTTCTGGGAACGGTACAACTAGGGAGAAGCAGAAAAGAATAGTGGTTGCCAGAGGCTGGGAAGGAGGAAAGGAAGAAGAGGCAGAGCACAGAGGAATTTCAGCTATCCTGTATGCGAGTACAGTGGAGAACTCCTGCCATCGTGTTTGTCAAAACCATGGACTGTGCAGAACCAAGCGTGAGCCTGAAGGATGCATCAGTTTAGGTCACCTCCTGTAATGAATGTGTCCCTCTGTGGGGGGAGTCAATAGTGGGAGACGTCGTGCAAAGGTGGGCACGGGCACAGAGAACTCTATGGTCCCACTCATGTCTGGTGTGAACCTGAAACTGTCATAACTTGTTTTATTAATTAAAAAAATTCCCAACGTACATCGTTAACGATCACCACTGTACCCAGATGACTTGCAAAGACAATCCACAAAGAGAAAAGCAAAACCTTATAGATTCAGGAATATCAGTGGAAGCCCAAAGCGGAATAAATCACAGCTAGGAACATCAAAATCCATCTGCTGAAAGCGAACTTTAGCGGGGCACTGTGGCTCGTGCCTGTAATCCCAGGTACTCGGGAGGCAGAGATCAGGAGGATCAAGGTTCGAAGCCAGCCCAGGCAAATAGTTTGCCAGACCTTATGCTAACATAATCTTATATATTATTTCTTTAAACATTTTTTGGCAGTACCAGGATTTGAACTCAGAGCCTTGTGCTTGCTAGGCACTGCTTGAGCCGTGTCTCCAGCCCAATTTATACCCCGCAAAAATACCTTTCAAAAATTAAGGTAGAGGACTGATGGAGTGACTCAGTGGTAGAGCGCCTGCTTAGCAAGTGTGAGGCCCCAAGTTCAAACTGCAGGGCCACTAAACCCAGAACCAAACAAAAAAATAAAACAAAAGGAAACTGCTAAAAATTAAGGTGTAACAATAAAAACAGTTTTATTATTATTGTTGTTATCATCATTATTAATATTATTTGGCAATGCCGGGGCTTGAACCTCACACATGTGGGAAATTGTGGCTTCCACACCTCAGCTCCCAAAGTGTCCTGTTGTCAGGAGACCCATACGGTAAGAAAAGCTGAGAGAAGTTGTTCGGGCTGAAGAGAAGTGAGAGCAGTTAGACATCTGGACCTGTAGGAACGGTCAGTGTGTTAAAAATATAAGCACATTAGCAAAGTACACGATGACAGAATCCCTCGGCATCCGGGGGACCAGCTCCCTGCTGGGTACCAAGATTCACAAATGCTCACGGTCCTTGTATAAAATGGAAGAATGTTTGTAGACAACCCATACACCCTCCTGTGTGTATGACTTATAATCCCTAGTCTATAATGTTCAGGAAAAAGATGTGACAAAAATGTCTACACACGCTCAATATAGGCACAGTTTTTTCTCCAAATATTTTCAATCCACAGTTGTCAACCCCACAGATACAGCACCTGTGAACATGGAAGGCCGACGGTATTTTAATTTATGTCCTTAAGTTCTTCAAAAGTCAAATGACTATTTAAAGCAGCTGGGCACCAGTAGTCCACACCTATAATCCTAGCTACTTGGGAGGCTGATATCAGGAGGATCTTGGCTCAAGGGCAGCCCCAGGAAAATAGTTCTCAAGACCCCATCTCCTAAATAACCAGAGCAAAAGGGACTGGAGGTGTGGCTCAAGCAGCAGAGCACCTGCTTTGCAATCCAGAAGTCCTGAGTTCAAATCCTGGTCCCACTTTAAAAAAAAAAGTCAACTGACTATTTAAAGCAAAAATAATAATTGGGCTGAGGCATAGTTCAATGATGGATGACTTACCTAGCACGCACAAGGCCCTGTGTTCAAACCCCAGCACTGCCAAAAAAATAATAAAGTACTGTGCAGTTTGTAACACATGCAGAGGTGTGACAAAGGACAGCGACTGCACCAGTGGAAGGCGAAGCTCCCTACATGTGAAGTGGTATGATATTAATTCAAGTAGATTGTGATAAGGAAAGAATGCCTGTTATTATCCTGAAAAAAAAAGCAACCATGAAAAAAAGAGCAGCACAGATAGACATTGCTAAAATCTTATTAGGGGAGATAAAATGGGATCTCAAAAAGAGCTCCATCCAAGAGAAGGTGAAGGGGGACGTAGCTCTGAGGCACAGCGTTTGACTGAAAAGGCAGGAGAAGAAAGGGGAAAAAGAGAGAGAGACACGGGGGTAAACGGAACACAGACAGCAAGATGGCTGCTTTAAAGAGAACTGCATTGATGGTTACGCACATCACTGAATACAAATGAACCAAACGGCCAGGTGTGAAAAAGCAAAACCGAGTTATATGTTGTTTACAGAAGAGGCACTTTAAATATGAAAGACACAGCCAAGCTGAAGGGAAAAAAGGTTTAAAAACTATATCCCATATAAACACCAAGCATTAGAACACTGGTGCGACCAGTTTAATAGCAAACAAGGTGGAATTTGAGACAGGGAGTGTTACTAGAGACAAAGATAGTAATTCTATAAAGATAAAAAGATCAAGGGGAGTTGGCACTGGTGGCTCAGGCCTGTAATCCCAGCTACTCAGGAGGCAGAGATCAGGAGGATCGCGGTTCGAAGCCAGACCAGGCAAGTAGTTTGCCAGATCCAATCTTGGTAAAAAAAAAAAAGGCTGGTGGAGTGGCTCACATGATAGTCTGTCTGTACTGACAAAAAAACAAAACAAAACAAAACCCAAAAAATAAGGAGACATTGAAATGCTAGACATGAATGCGCCTTGGGCTGGAAACTTGACTCAAGCAGAAGGGAGCCTGCCTAGCAAGCACAAAGCCCTGAGTTCAAACCTCAGTACTGCCAAAAAAAAAAAAAAAAAGTAAACCAAACAAACATGAATGTCCCTAATAACAAAGGCTGAAAATATATAAAGCAAAAAAAATAAATTGAAGGGAGAAAAGTACAAATCTACATTCAGGGTCAGAGAGACAGAGCGATAAAAAGAAAAAAATATAGGATCAAAGAGTCAGAGACCTGTAGAGAGAGACGTGCAGGGCGAGACGTGTAGGGCTGTCATGGGCAGCCAGACTGGGACACATGGGGGCAGTCTAATCCTAAAAGGATGAAGATGGAGATGTCCTGGATCAGACAGGAGGCCTCTGGTTGTAGGAGGTGGAACTAAAACAGGGATCTGGGACTGTGGGATCCTGGAGGAGTGGGTACAGGGTAGACAGCATCCGCTCACCTGCTGCCCTGTAAAGCCTCGGAGGCCAGGATCCCCACGTGGTCCCTGGATGGAAGCGGGGAGAAGAATGCAGTTAACTGTCTGCTCTAGAGCCCCGGGACTCTCCAGAATCCCCCATCGGTGGCCATGTGGGTACTCACCCTCTCGCCCTTCTCTCCTTGGTGTCCAGCAGGGCCTGGGGGTCCCTGAGTAACAAGACAGGGCCTCAGTCTTATGCTGGGACAGGATGCAGAAGGCAGGGGGTAGGGGCAGAGGTGTCACAGCAGGAGCCCCAGCTTGGCCTGGGCCTCACCGTACGCTGATGGTGGTTCACTCAACTCAGTGTGAGGAGATACGGTCTGAGAGTCAGACAGCCCCCACTACAACCTATAGGGGTTGGCGTGGACTGGCCTGAGCCCTAAGAGTCTCTGCCTTTCTTAGCCTTAGGAGACAACGGTGCTTGCTTCTCTTTACACAACTGAGTGAGAACATTTATGGAAAGTACTTTGCATATCAAATCCTCAGTAAGTTTTGTGTTTTTTTTTTAAGTAACAGTGAAGTTTATTAGGAGAGGAATGGGGTGGGGAGGGGGGAGAGAGAAGCATCTCCTGTTCCCCACGCAGGAAATGGGAGCAAAGACTCCTCAGCAAGCTCCTGAATGAATGAATGAAAGGATGGATGGACAGCTGGATGAATGGATTTGCACACAGGTGACAGCACTTGGAAAATAACTCACCATTTCTCCAGGACTACCAGGGACACCTGCAGGGCCAGGCAGTCCAGGGGGACCTGGAATAAGACAGGATGTCCTCAGGACTGGACAGAAGTGCTGTCAGCCCCAGTCCCACGGCCACCCACCAATTCCATCCTTTGCCCCAGGCCTGGGCTCCACTTACCCATGGGTCCTGGGGGACCCGGGGGACCTGGGGACCCAGTGGGTCCCTGGGGCCAGTGGCTGCTGATTTCAGTGAAGGTGTTGGATAGCAGCTGGTCCCCTGGAGAGGAAAAGATAGTGAGTGAGCAGGATGGACACTCTTCAGTTGTGACCACCTCTGCATGTCAGCTCTGACTGCCCTACAGAGGAGCCTGCAGCACAGATGGGGCCAACCAGGCACCTGCTCCCAGAGTGGGAGTGGGGAGAGCGTTGGTCAAGCAAGACCAGAAGACAGGGAGACCTGGGTTCTAATTCTGCCACACTCTAGGTGACAACCAGAAATACTCTACTTGATTTGAGCCTGTACTGTTGCCTGTCAAGTGGAAATGATAATAGCTATCATTTATCGACCATCTGCCATGTTTCAGGCATCCGTGCACGAGTAGCATGGAGCTCTGGGAAGCTGGCATTGTCACTGCCTCACTGAAGAGATGAGGAACAAGCCAAGACTTGGAAAGGGAGATGAACAGTGGGATGGGAGAATGAATGAATGTCTACCCATGCACCAAAGGTACAATGCAATGGGTGGAACCTGAGAGTCACTCTGACCCCTGGCAACACGTGAAAGTCAGACTGGGCTTCCAGAGGGAGGAGGGTAGAGATGCACGTCAGCGCACGGGGCCGGAGCCTCTCCAAGTACAAGGCTAGCGCTGTGGCCTTGGGATCATGGAGCTGGCTTCCTGCTGTCGGGCCTCCAGCTTCCTGGCACTCTGAGGGCTGGATTCCAGTCACCTCCAAGGCCTGGGGAGGGTCTAATGCCAGGTGGTTCTGAGCATCTGGGTTAGAACCTATTCCCCTACACTCTAGCTGTCTCATCATGGCATGTGACATCCCCTCTCTGGACTCAGTGTCCCTAACCTGTGCACAGAGAATGACAGCCCCTGCAGGTAACGTGTGGTCTACCAAGGGCAAGTATGGCCTGCAGAAGGCCCCTGATAGACGGTAGCAGACACCATGGTGGCGGGTATTCCCCTCAACCAACCCCACCTCAGCCTGATGGAACCCCAGGGGACTCACCATGCTGGGAGATCCGGGCATGGGATGGACCAACAGGGGCTGGGGGTCCCGGGGGGCCAGGAGGCCCTGGTGGGCCTGGAGGTCCCATCTCTCCAGGGATGCCTGCAGCTCCAGCCTGGCCAGGGCTCCCTGGGGGGCCCTGTGGACCTGCAGTGAGATCACAGGGGCCAGTGGGCACGTGGGAGGCATGGAGAACCAGGGAGGCCTTGAGGGGGCAAGACAAGACAGCAGAAGAGAGGGCACTGGAGCCCACAGAGCTGTCCTTGACTGTCTATTGCAGGGATGAACACAGCGTCCTGCCTTCATCCCACCTAGGCAGGTATGGGCCCTTCCTTAGGGCTCCCAGGCCCCCATGTCCCCTACAGGAATCCTGGTGACAGAGGTGAACATTGGTGTTTCTCCTCTGCCTAACCCCCACACTGATCTGGGAACGCCTGGAAGGCAGGGACTGGGCTCACCCCATCCCAGTGCCCAGCTCAGAGGTGGCGGAGTGTAGGTACCCAAGGAGCAGGAGCTGACTGAACCAAGACAGGGTTTGGGGGCACCGAGGTCTGAGTGGGGTACCCCCGGAGGGAGGGTGAGCAGGGCCAGGCCACCCTGGATATGCCAGGGCTGGGGACAGCTTCAGCCAAGGGAATGGCCTAAGAAAGCTGGCGGGTGGCATTGTGGGCACTTACCTGGCGGGCCCCTCATCCCTGTTGGGCCCTGGCTGCCAGTGTCTCCTTTGGGGCCAATGGGCCCGGGCAGCCCCCGAGTACCAGCTTGGTCTGGGGAACAAAGAACTTCAGGTTGACAGCTCTGAACCTGACTTTGACCCCACCCCAGCCCTGCCCCTCAGCCGGTACCTACCATCTCGAGGAAGCAGCGGGGCCCTCATGCTCTCTCTGGCTCCTGGCAGCCCTGGAGAGAGGGCGTAGGCAGGGGTCAGTGTCTCTGTTGGGCCAGAGACAGGAACGATCATCCAGATTCCCCTCCCTCCGTTCTAACCCAGGCAGGGGCTGCTGGGGCTGCTCAGCCTCCCTGGCAGGACCCCAGTGTTCAGGAGCTCCTGAGACAGTCCCCTCAGATTCCCTGGAGAGGTGAGAAGACTGAGGCCTGCCAGGGAGTCAGCAGCAGGACGGGGACCAGGGTCTCCCCCTAATTCCCACCTGGGATTCTGTTCCTGCCTCTCCTACTCACCCTGGAGGCCTCCATCTCCTGGGCTTCCCTGGGCAGCCGGAGAGCCCCAGAGCAGGACAGCGTCCTCAGGGCTAACTGGGGTTGGGGACGCTGCTTGTTCTTTGACAGTCAGCACAGCCACCTGTGGAGGAAGAAGACAGTGACAGCATGGGTGTCAGAGAGAGGCCAGCCAAGGGACCCCAGGATGGGGGCAGGAGGCCTACAAAGCCTGCTGGGAGTTGAGACCAAGCTCCCAGGCCCAGAAATTCATCAGAAATGACTGTGTTTTACAAAGTCAAATTCACTGGTGCCGGTGGCTCACACCTGTAATCCCAGCTACTCAGGAGACAGAGATCAGGAGGATCGTGGTTCGAAGCCAGCCTGGGTAAATATTTTGCAAGACCCTATCTTGAATAAAACCATCACAAAAAAGGGCTGGCGGAGTGGCTCAAGGTGTAGGCCCTGAGTTCAAATTCTAATACTGCCACCAAAATTTTTTTTTTCTTAAAATGACTTGAGATATGTAACAGACATTTTGCTTTTGAAACCGGAAGATGTTATCATAGGCGAGGTGGGGTGGGAAAAGGAGGTGCCAAGCCAGGTGGGGATCCAGCAGTGAGCTGGGGGGGCATGTCTGTTCTTATCTGGCTGAGGACTGGGCTGCATGGGTGGGGGCTGCACGGTCTCTGGAGCAGCAGAACAGGCTATCCATTGTAAGGACAGGGCGAACGTCTGGATGGGACCAAGGGGAGGCCAGGGCAGATCTATGGGGGTCAGAGGGAGACTGTGATCCTCCTGCCTCCTACTGCCCCAGTAGGTGAAGAGCCCCAAGGTTGGAGGTCAGAGCTGCACTGTGAATCCGAGGACCAGGATGTGCAAGGGGCAGCAGGAAGGGGCAGAGGTGGCCAGGGCCCAAGGGTAGGGGGCAGGGGTGCTGCCTACCCACCTTGGCCTCCAGCACCTTCAGCCGCTCAGTGAGCTCGGACACCTTGCTGCAGTTGAAACAACCTGTGGGCAAGAAGGAGACTGGGGCTGTGCTAAGGTCCCCAGGTTCCCCTTGGTGCCCTCAGCCCCAGAACAGAGATGGCAGACCCCTGAAGACCTCATCCGAAGAGGGGCCCTAGAGTGGGGAAGGAGCTGCTGAATAACGCCAGGCACAGGGTACACGGTGCCCCTTGGGTGTCCATCCACTCTGGAGCCTCTAAATGGCCTCGTGTCTCCCAGAGAAGGAGGTGGGCCCTGATCCTGTAGCTTCTGCATCCAAAATGACCTCTTTCCCAGAATCCTCCTGGACAGGGCTGGAGCCAGGGCCTGGCGGCTTTGGTGACCGACATGCCACAGTATGGCTGGGTCCGGCCCCGGAGGTGTCATCCTCTGAACACTTCACAGAACACCATCCAGCACCCATGACCTCCTCAGAAAGACACTGAACTTATTCCCGACAGCTCTGGTCATTTGTGGGGCCTTCACAGGCTGGTCAGGCTGGTCCTCATCACAGCTTTGACCATCAGAAAGTGTCACCCCCATTCATACCTGAGTTCATGACAAGGTGCAGTGAGCACACAACAAAGACTCCAGCCCAGTGCTGCCCCCTTGCTGGTTGCACTGGACAGAGCAGTTTGCTCCTCTTTAAAATGACCTCAGTGAGGTCTGGGGGGGAGAGAGGTGACAACAAAAAGAACAGGTCTGAAGGAGCTGGTGATGGAAAGCACCTGGTGTGGGGCCTAATACACTACAAGAAGCCCAGAAAATGACTGAGGAAATAAAAAGAACCTGCGGGCTTGACCGCCATCTGGAGAGTCCAGGGGGTCAAGGGGCCTTGGAGGGCCTGGCCCAGGTCAGACTCCCCTCTGGGGCCCTGCCTCTCCCCCTTGAAGCTCTTTCCAGCCTGGAGGCGGTGGGATACCGTCCTAACCTTCCACCACTGGACCCAGATGGCTTTAGGACAATTACCACAGTGCCCTAGAGCCCCTCCAGGTCTCCCCCAGCCCAGCAGGCCCCCAAGAAGCTGCCCCAGGGCCCACCTGAGAAAGCCAAGGGCCGAAGTGCCATCCTCGGAACTGCGTGGCCAGACCATCCGGGCTCCACGGGGCCAGAGGAACCTGCAACTGAGGGACAGGGAGGGGGTGAGGGCTCTGCTGCCCCACCATCCTTGTTTTGTCACACACACACCCCCTCCTCCCACTGTAACCCTAGCAACGAGATCCTCCTCCCCTTGGTGCGGAGAGACCTGGCCCATGGAGGTGGGGCAGCATACCCGGGTCCCACAGCACGAACGGGGCTGAGCTGCAGCAAGGCTGACCCCTTGATGGGGCTGGCAATGGGATGGAGGCCACTGATGAGGTTGGGGGCTTCCCTGAGGACCCCAGCCAGGGTCATGAGTTAAGAGTTTAGAGTCAACTGGGAATCGGTGGCTCACGCCTGTAATCCTAGCTACTTGGGAGGCTAAATTCGGAAGGAACACAGTCTGAGGCCAGGGCACACAGTTTGCACGACCCCATCTCCAAAACAGCCAGAGCAAAATGGACTGGAGGCGTGGCTCAAAGTGGTACAGCACCTGCTTTGCGAGCAGGAAGCCCCGAGTTCGAACCCCAGTCCCACCAAAAAAAAAGAACTTAGAGTCAGCAGACAAGCGACTTACTGACCTGTGTGACCTGTGCTCTCTGGCTATTTCTCCATCTGTAAGGTGGGACGCTAAGGCCTCTGTCCCTGCCTGGCATGTGCAAAGGCCCCAGTGAGCACACACAGGGCAGGCACACAGTACACACCTAATTCACAAAGCGTGGCCATGCTGACACACCACACCCGCGTGGTCAGAGACTGAAGTGGAACCAGCTCTGGTTGAAATGACAGGCAGAGGGAGGCTGGCTTCCTGTCCCAGGAGTCCACCCCCACCATGTCCCCGGCTGGTCTGGCTGAGGGGGGGGGGCCTGGCTTTGGACACAGCTGGAGGATCAGGCTGGCCAAGCCAGGGGCAGAGGCGCAGCTGGAGGGGGTTCTCAAGCCAGCAGTGCCAACTGCTCCCCTCTACCCCCCGGGCCTGCCTTTTAAGGCCACGAAGTGTCCTCTGGTGGAGGTGGGGGGGAAGACAAGATCCAAATAAGGCACAGCCTTGGCAGCTGGGGCCTGGGCTGTGGGTTGAGGGAGGGAGGGAGAGGCGCCGGGAACTCAAACCAGACAGGTCCCCCTGGCCAGCCCCCAGCGGGGAGGCTGCCAGGCCCTGCTCCGGGTCCCACCACACGGGACCTTTGCTTCGGCTGGGCTGCCTTCCTAGCAGCCCGAGGGGGCTGTGACTTGCCCAGGTGTGGGGGTTAGAACCCTGCCAGCCCTAAGCAGGGATTGGGGGTGCTCTGAGCAGGGAAGAAGCCACTGTGCAATCCCACAAAGTAGGTAATAATGTCAACAGCTAACTCTTGGTTTTTTTTTTTTTTTTTTTTTTTGTGGTACTGGGGCTCGAACCCAGGGCCTTGTGAATGCTAGGCAGATGCTCTACCACTTGAGTCATGCCACCAGCCCTTTTAACCATGGCTAACTCTTGTTTTTAGCACTTATTCCCAGCCAGTGTCAGCATATTCTAGACTCTTTATACACAATCTTGGTATTTTCCTTTTTTTTGCAGCAGGTGGGGAAACTGAGGCACAGAGCGATGAGGTAGGTGCTGTACCACTTCTCCTCTTCCCCCATGCACAAACAAATGGATGAGTGAGTGAGACTCTTCCTGGCTTCTCCTCCAGGGGGAAACCAAGACAGAGAAAGGAAGCGACTCCCTCAGGGTCATCTCTCTGAAGCTGTCCAGGGCCTGACCTCTTGGCGGGGGAGGGGAAGTGTCCAGTAGGAAAACACACTGTGTGTGTGACAGAAAGGGCCTCTCTGTCCTTTTGGCTCCCAGGTGAAAATGTCAAATGTTAAATGTCATTATTATTTTTTTTTTTGGTGGTACTGGAGTTTGAACTCAGGGCTTTGTACTTGATAGGCAGGGGCTCTACCAACCCCTTTTCACTTTAGTTCTTCAAACAGGGTACTGATTTTTGCCTGGGGCCAGCCTAGATCTTGACCCTCCTACTTACACTTCCCATTTAGCTGGGATGACGAGTGAGCTACACCACAGCAGGCTTGTTGGTTGAGATGGGGTCTCAACAGTTTTCTACCCTGGCTGGTTGGCCTTAAACCTTCAGCCTCCTGAGCGCTGGGATTATAGATACGAGCCACGGTGCCTGGCCCAATTTTCTTATTCTTTCCAGAAAGTTGACCCAAAGCAGCAATTGTCTGTCCCCAGCCTTGTGCAAGTCTGAGTTTTCTGTGTGATAAAGCTTTGGTTTTCCTGATACTTTGTTATTTTGCTTTTTGTCAAAACCGCTTTCTACCCTCGGACATGTTATGGGTTGGACCAGTTCCCTAGCTGACTGCACTTGTCTGCCCCCGGCTGGAACCCAGCCCCACCAGGGCGGAGACCTTGTCTCCCTTGTGCCTGGCCAAGGAAAATGCCTAGCACCCAGCAGCACAAGGGCTTCAATAAAACCCATCACAAAAAAGGGCTGATGGAGTGGCTCGAGGTGTAGGCCCTGAGTTCAAACCTCAGTACCAAAAAAAGAAAAAGTAACAAAATGTTGACTCTGGATTCAGGATTCACAAAAATTAACTCCAAAGCTGCCCCAAATTCTGATAGTCAGAAATACTTTGAGAGATGCACCAGGTTGTAAAAGGGTCTTTCAGGCTGAGTACCAGTGGCTCACCCCTGCAATTCCAGCTACTTGGGAAGCTGAGATTGGGAGGTTCGAAGTTTGAGGCCAGCCCAGGGAAAATAGTTTGAGAGACCCCCCATCTCCAAAATAACGAGAGCAAAAGGGACCGGAGGTGTGGCTCCACGGTTAGAGTGCCTGCTTTGTAAAGCACAAAGCCCTGAGTTGAAACCCCGGTCCACCAAAAATAAGTAAATAAGTAAATAAATTAAAGGGCCTTCGGCACACAAAATTCCAGGAAAGAAGCTGTGGTTCGGGGCATGGTTTTTCAATGTCACCTGCCCCCACCAGTGTCACTGATACAGGTTCCAGCAAACCGAGAGCCACCCTGCCAAGCCCTGTCGCTGCTGAATGGTCCTCCTAGCCTCATCCTCCCATCCCAAAAGGGTCCTGAAGGCTGATCTCAGGACCCCAGACCCCAGCCCCGCTCCAGGGCACTTCCCACCATCCGAGAGGTCAACAGCCCTACACACATGTATACATGTACGTGTATACTGTATCTTCCCCAATTCCTTCCACTGTGGCTCTCACATCACCTCCTCCAGGAAGCCTTCCTGGTTGGGGAGGAGGGCACCCACCAGTACTTTAAAGCCCTTGAAATTCTCATCAATCCCTGTCATCAACCCCACCAGGCAGTGCTTCCTGTAGTGTCTGGCCCTGTGTCCCCCAAATCAGCTCCCTTCCTCCTACCCAGTGCCAAGTCTGGGTCCTTTCTTATGAGATCCTCGTGACACCCACAGCACAGAATAGAACACTGAAGCCCAGAGAGGAGAGGCTGCCTGCTCCAGTCCACACAGCAGGATGAGGGGGGCTGGGACTACAAGCCTGCTCCAAACTGGGAATGGTGATATGATAATTTTGGGGGGTCCCTGAGCTCTACTGCTATGACTTTTTCCCCCCAAGAAGAGGAGCCAGGGGAGGGACTTCCTTGCTCACCCTTGCCCTCCTAGGTCTGCCCACCTCAAGCCACAGGGACACAGCTTCCTAGGCCCCCCCAGGTCTCCCATGAGAATATCTTTGCAATGTAAATATTTGCAGCTGGCCAGCTGGTGGCCTGAGCCAGGGTGAGGGTCAGAGCTGGGACCAGGAGCTCCAAGAATGCCACCCCCCACCCCGGTCTGGCCAGGAGGCCTCTGGGAAGGAAGGTTTGGTCTGGTTCTGGCCTGGGTCCCCCTTTGGGATGGGTGAAGTTTCCAGGCAAATCTCACGCACCCACATTATACCAGGCTCATGCCAGGCACCGAGCTATGGGCGTAATGAGGACAGGTTGAGGCCAGCTTAGCCAGGTGGGAGCACCCAGAAGGTAGCAGGCAGAGGGGAAGGGGGAGGTGAAGCTGGGGTGTGCTGGGAGTGGGGTGACTTACTGAGCCTCCCAACAGGAATGGGGGGGTGGACACAGCAGGGTTGGCACAATAGCTGGTTCGTGGGACCATGATTCTCTGAAGTAACACCCAGACTCCAGAGGTTTGGCTTCGTAGCTGGCACCTGGCTGATGATGTGTGGGAGGTACCCAGCCCCGGGGGGGACGGGGGCAGGCTGGAACCTCTCACATCTGCTCTAAGACTTTTGGGCTATGCGATCTTCAGCAGATGTCCCTTTGCTGGCCCCCCACCATGGAGGAAAGGGCTGTGAGGGTCCAGAGATGGGGAAGGGACAGGTATGCAGAGGACAAGGGACCGATGAAGGAAGGGAGCCCCCGAGGAGAGAAAGGCAAGCCCCCGGCCTCGCTATCTTTCCATCTGGGAGTTGTGGAGTGGTGACGGGTTTCCACCAGCCTCACAGCACCCCAACTACCCAAACACACTCCCTGAGACATCTCAGCCAGCACTGCCAGGGCAGAAAGACCCCGGGTTCAAGTCAGGATGACTGGATTGAGTCACTGTCACCCTAAGCCTGGCTTTCCCCTCTTAAGCCTTGCTCGCTGCATCTGCACCTTCTGTTCCACACCATGACAGCACAGTGGTGGTGACAGCTTTCCTTCACCTTGACGTTATCACTGCAGGAGAGGCTAGTGTGGAGGGAATGCCACAGACCTCAGGTCAGAGCCCTAGAGAACACCTGGCCACAGTACCTATTCGCTGTGTGATCTTGTGTGAGACCTGCACCCTCTCTGGCCAACGGATAGGCAAGAGATCTGTCTGCAGGGAGCCCAGGAGTCAGAGTGACCCAGGGGTGGGCCTAACAGCCGTCCTCAGCACAACTCACCAACCTGGAGCATTCAGGCTTCAGACCCAGGCCCGGTGATGACTGTTCAACTCTGCCTGCCTCCCTGCCAGGGACCTGGCACCGTGTGGGCCCCTGCCCGCCGGGCCCCACCCCGCCCACATGGCACATTCTGACCTTGGCTCTTTCTCACCCATTGTTTCTGACAAGTCTCAGTTTCCATGAGCAGGGGCCAGGTGAGAGCCTCTGCCAAGTCCTTCCCAGCCATGCAGCCCCCCTCCCAGCCTGGATGGCTCTCGATCCTGGCTCTCAGGTGCTGAGTGATCCAGGCCAGTCTCTTCCCCTCTCCGAGCCTCAGTTTCCCCCTCTGTAACCCAGGGTCCACTCTAGCTCCTTCCTCCCAGGATGTCATGAACAGCCAATGAGACTATCCTCACTCATTGCCACCTTCACCGTTGGCGACTGCTAGTTTCACGATCGTTTGTTGAACAGCTGAATGAAGAGTGGAGTCCCTGAGGCGGGAGGCAGGGCTGTGCCTTGCTGGGTCACTGCAGAATCCCCAGCACAGGGACAGAGAGAGAAAGAGAGAGAGACATTTGCGTAGCAACTATGAGGTGTCAGCACAAAGGCGCACTTCTCAATCCCAGGTAACTCAGACAAAGCCAAGGTTCAGAGATGTGAAATAAGTTGGAACAAGACACACACCGCAGAGCAACTGATCCCTGGCTGAGTTCAGGAATGGCGGATGTTCCCCCTCCTTTGTGGATCACCCTCCAGCTGCTCTGGGCCCTGTCACCCTGGTGATGTAGTTCTGGGGACCCAGGGTCATGTCCCAGAAAAGAGCAGGCCACAAGGACAGCTGGCGGTGGGGGAATGTGGAAGGAAGCAGCTGGAGGAGCAGGGCCTGAACCCAGCTGTGGGAGGAAGAGCAGAGCCTGGGATGGGCCAGCCATGTCCCCATGCCTTTCCAGCCCCATTTCCAGGGCCCCAGCGGAGCAGTTTTCCAGGCTATTCAGGCCTGGGCATCCACTCAGCCCTTCCCTTTCCCTTAGCTCCAACTCTCTGGGTGGGGAGCAGGCCCTCTGTCCTTCCAGTCACCCCTCAGTGCCCAGCATAAGCTGTTGTGCCACCTTACTGCTTCAGGTCATCCCAGCAACATACCCGAGAGGCAGACCCCATCCTCTGGCCCATTTCAGAAGTGAGGACTCTGAGGTTCAGCGTGGGGAGCCCTGGGCTGCTCTAAGAGAACGTGGGGCTGGAAACATAGCTCAAGTGGTAGAGCACCTGACTAGCAAGTGGGAGGCCCTAAGTTCAAATCCCAGTACAACCAAAAACTAAAAATAAGGGAGAGAATGCATCAGAGAAATCTTGGTTCAAAGCCAATCTGGGCAAATAATTCATGAGACTCCATCTTGAACATAACCAGAGTAAAATGGACTGGAGGTGTGGCTCAAGCAGTAGAGCGCCTGCTTTGCAAGCGTGAAGCCCTAAGTTCAAACCCCAGTCCCACCAAAGAGAGCTAGAGAGAGAGAGAGAGAGAGAGAGAGAATGAAGCCTGGATTGTACCCACAGCCCCCCACTCTTGCACAATGGATTACATAATGCACAGCGAGTCCAGGCCCAAGGCCACACAGCTGGTGGATGGTGGAGACAGCCTGGCCCATGAAGGCCTGGACACCCCATCCCCATGGTGGGACCTGAAGGCTGCATGGGGTTGGCCTGACCTTGGCACTGCTTCTGCCTCATCACAGACAGAGCCTCAGCCCTTGGCCTGCTTCTGAACAGGTGCCTCCAGTGACTGGGTTCAAGGGCATGGGGCCACCCCCACCTGTCCTCCCTCACCTGCACCATGAAGGCCTCTAAGCTCAGAAGGTCTACCCTTGGGAGAGCAGCCAAGGGACAGGGTGGCCTCTGTGTGGGGCAGGCCCTGCCTGGGCTCGGTCGCTCGGGCTGGACCCCCACACCTTGGGATTTGCCCAGAGGTCCTCTGTGGGCTTCCCTGGCAGCTGCCCCTCCTGGCTGGCTCTCCTCCTGCCCCTTGAACCCTCCCACCTGTGGTTCACAGCTCCCAGCCTCCCACATGGCTGCCTGTCCGTAGCGACACTTGGCTGGGGGGATTCCACTCCTTTCTTCCAGCTCCATATGAGACTCCCGCTCCACACCAGAACCCGACAGACCCTCTCCCATCCCATTTCTGGGTGAGCTCTGTCCCCATCCATCCCTCTGTGACTCTGGATCCTCAACTCCACTTCTCTGGCCTGAGTCCCTCCACCACGAACCCGGCTGTTGCAAATGTCTCACCTGACCTGTGAGGTCAGGTACTGTGGGTCATTCCTGTAATCCCAACTATCTGGGGGGCAGAAGAGATTGGGATGATGAAGGTTAGAGGCCAGCCCTTGCAAAAAATTAGCAAGATCCCATCTCAACCAAGAAACCGGGTGCCTGTGGTACCAGCTACTCAGGAGGCGTAAATGGGAGGATCGCAGTTCAGATTGGTGCCAGGCAAAAACTTGACCCTACTCAAAAAATAACTAAGACCAAAAGGGCTGGGGAGTGGCTCAAGTGGCAGAGCCCGTGTCTAGCAAGTGCAAGGTCCTGAGTTCAAACTCCAGTACCTGCATCTTACAACACTAGCGTGTCACATCTGGGATGCTTAGGGCCTTCCTTCAATACCTCTTTCCATGAGGGCTCTGGGGTGGATTCTCAGGTTTATTCCAGGCCCTCTCAAGCCTCTCCATGCTTGGGAACCACCTCTCGGTGTCCCCCACGGCTGTCACTCAAGGGGTCAGCCAGGCAGCGAGGGGGACAGGGGCCCGAACAGCACAATAGAGAGGCAGGACCGACCAAGAGCCAGGCGCTGGGCCCCAGCTGCACCTGGAGATGGTGGGCGGGTGAGAGTGTCCCTCTGCCTGATGCAGCTGGGTCTACCCTGAGACCCCGGGGGAGTGGAGCCAGGAGGACGGGGTCTGAACCCCAGCTCTACCACGAAGGAGCCGTGGCCTTCACCTTCCTGAGCCGCGGTGGGTGCTGGCTGCTACGTCTCGGGAAACACCTGGATGGATTTTCCCAGTGCTGGAGTTTGGATGGTAAATGTGCTCCAAAGACCCAGGTGTTAAAAACTTGGAAACCTTTAAGAAGTGGGAGGCCTTTGGGTCACTGGTCCATGAGTTGCCCAGGGAGCCCTGCTGAGGGGGCTCTGTGGGACCTCAGCCCCCTCCTTGCTTTTTTGTTTGTTTGTTTCCTGGCTACGAAGCACACTCTTGCCATGATGGGCTGCCTGGCCACAGGCTCAAAGCCACCGAGCTAACCAATCATGCACTAGAAGCTTCAATATGTGAGTCAGATGAACCTTTCTGCTGTATAAGTGGATTATCTCAGGCATTTTGTTACAGTGATAGAAAGCTAGCACACCAAGTTTGAAGGAAAGACTTGAGACTGTGTGGCTTAAGATTTGAGTAACATAACGCATCTGAAAAATCTTGCAGGGGCCTCGAGAGTCACCTGAGAGTCTCTAGAGGAGTAAGCAGTCACCAAAAGAGGATAGCAGTCCCAGACTCTGTCTGAGCCACAATGTGCCCGGCAGTTTTGTGCAGTGGTCTCCTGTGTGCATGGTGCAGTGTCTCTGGTCTCAGCAACAGTTTACTACTCCCATCCACGTAAAGAAGGTACTTGCCCCACTGTCACAGGGCCGCAGCTCCAACAGGGCTGTCCTACCTTCCTCGCAGGTCACCCCGGAATGTCCAGGGCAGCACTTCCACTCGCGGGTGGTCACTGTCTTGTACATCACCTTGTATGTGGGCCGCACCACAGTTCTGTAGCTGAAAGAGTGTCCAGGTGGCCTGGCTCAGTTAGGATCTTCCATCACTTTTTCCCCAGACACCCAGGGGGACAGGCCAAGAGCCTCCAGGATCCTCTGCCACCTCCAGGCAGTCTCTTTCCTCCTGCATGATTGGATTTAGGCCTTCTACCAGCCCCACCACACCTCCACAGCCAAGGGCATAGGGATACCAAGGACAGGAAGCCCCTGCAGGCTGGGCTGAACCAACCCCAGCTGTGATACTCCCTGAGTGAAGGAATGCAGGGTCTTGGTGATTCCTCCCCCAGGAAGCCCTCCAAGGTTTCCCCTCTTCCTTTGCTCCACCCACCCTGGGGCCCCAGGTTTCCCCCGCACTCCCCAAATAGTTCTCTCCCCTGCCTCCAGGCCTTTGCTACACTGCACTACTTTTCTGCCACGGCCTCACTTACCTGCTTCCCGGGCAGCTCATGGGCCAGGGGCAGTTCTGTAGCACTCGCTGAAGATAGGTGCCGTTCTGTACATGGCACGAGACAGCGCGAGTCACCACGTAGGAGCACCAGTTCCTGGAACAGACCAGAGAGGAAGCTCAGGTGCCAGGCACAGCCCCCGGCCCAGAACTCCGAGTGAGGTCCTTGTGCAGGAGCCCCTAGTCTCCCGGCAGAGAGACCCCTGACCTCTGAGTCATTTGGACCCCAGTGACGTCTGCATGGCCTCCCCAGTGAGGTCTCCATGGACCTAGGTGGAGTGGCCATGCTGGAAGCTCCCAGGAGGCCTCTGGGGTCAGATGTAGCCCAGCTCCAGCTGTGACTGGCGGCCACCAGCATGGGTGCCGTGGGCACATTCAAGACCTTGGAGCCTCAGTCTTTCCACCTGTGAAATAGCTCTCCTTTTAGAGGGGGAAACTGAGTGAGGACTGAAATGAGAGAAGGCAAGGAAGGCCTGGCCACAGCTCCCGTGCACAGCAAGTGCGATGAACAGTCTGCTGTTAGAGTCAGAGAGGGACGGAGCAGAGGGACAGCACTCCTTTGTCCAAGAGGTGGCAGTCTGATGAATACATTTTTTTGTTTTTTTGGCAGCACTGGGGATTGAACTCAGGGCCTCACACTTGTTAGGCAAGGGCTCTACCACTTGAGCCACCCTCACAACCCTTTGTTTTTAGTTTGTTTTTCAGATAGGGTTTTGCACTTTTAACCAGACTGGCCTCCAACCTCCATATCCTCCTACCTCTGCCTTCCAAGTAGCTGGGATTACAGGCATGTACCACCACACCTGCCCTAAGAGTATATTTTCCCTAACTTTATGCACACATATCTATATATGCGCATAGAAGTATGAACAGCTGTCTGGTGCTCTCTCTCTCTCTCTCTCTCTCTGTCGACTTATTCTCTAACTATTGGCCTGTACCTGCCTTTGCCCGTTATCAAGATGTGACAGCTGGTTCTCAGGTCTCAGACCTTAGGTTCTGTCACATCTGTTTCTGGGTTTGGTGGTCTGTGGCCATGACGGCGATTATCGGTTGTGTGCCATTCCCAGCAGTGTGACAGTAAGCACCTGTCACCTGTGCCGAGGATGGCCGTCTAGCCAAATGGAGCGTTCTCTTCCGTCCCCCTCACCCCTCGCCCCAGGCTTCTCTTCTTCCAGGACTGAGCCGAGCATGGCTCAGAAAGATGAAGGGGTTTCCTGAGGGCTCTGCAGACTGACTCCACCGAGTCCTGGTCCCAACAGGGCTTTCCTTTTGATGGGTCAGGTGGAGGTGGGGCAGTAGGTGCCTCTGTGGTGGCCCAGACATTCCAGGTGCTCAGCGGCCCTCAGCCCTGCTGGGGTCAGGAGCCCAGGGTGTTTTGCTGGGGCTGCAGAAAGAGGGACGGTGTCAGGTGACTTTCTCAGTCTAAGCCCCCTACCCCAGCAGACTACCGTTTGTGGCCTGAGCCCCAGGTCAGCAGGTTCCCAGACTGAGCTCTTCACAGTGCCACAGACCGTGGCATGGGTCCCGGGAGGAGATGGGAGCTGAGGATTCTGGATGTAGTCGGAGGCCAGGCTGGACCCTCCCCACTCCTGGTGCAAATCAGGCTCCTTCATGCGCCAGCTCCCTGAGCCCCGATTTCTCTAGAATGTGGGGGAGTGCCTTTCTGGCTCGCCACTAAAAAACCACGTCCGTCCTCGTAGCATACAGTAAGTGCTCAATATGTGCAGGGCGACGTGATTTTTGCTAGCATTCAGAGCTATCGCTCATCTGTGCTTAGAACAATGTGCATCTCAGCTGTCACACAGAGGGGACATGAGGACAAGTGAGACAGTGTCCTTTCACACAGCAGCAGAAGAGGACAGACACGAATCACCAGCTTCATTCAGCATCACAGGGGCCCAGAAAGCTGCAAGGTGCAGAGCAGGAAAAGCCTCAAGTCACTCAGATGGGGTGGACATGGGAAAGGACAGAAGGACGAGGAGACAGGTGGCACGAGGAGAAATGCTACCAGCAGAACCAGAGGCCTTGGAGGGGAGGGGGATCCATGACAGGTCCAGAGGGCTGGGGACTGGGGTAACAAGGGAGAGACACAGCCAGGTTTGCACTTTATGATACTCTAGCAGGGTGCCATGCCACACTCCTGTGGTCGCAGCTCCTCGGAAGGCTGAGGCAGGAGGACTGTTTGAGCCTGGCAGTTTGAGACCAGCCTGGGCTACGTAGTGAGACCCCATCTCAAAAGACAAAAAAAAAAAGGCGGCTCCCATCCTGCCCACCCTGTAGAGCCTCAGTTTGAAGCTGCTGGGGTGTCATTCGGAGGGTAGGGACTGTTTCCACGTGGGAACAGCCACAGATGCATCTGTGCTTACGATGCATGGACACACCTGTGCCGTGGGCACACACACAGATCCACAGGCGCACAGACTCGTGCACGCATCCAAGGCACATCCAGCAGGACTTGTCACTACAGAAATGACCCTTCCTCTGCAAAGGTGCCTGATCACCCACACGTCCTCTCCTATGGACACAGATGGCTGTGGTTGCAATGTCTGTGTGGTGCACACTCGGGGCTGTGCCCCCTCACCCATGTACACACGTGCACACAGGTACACAGAGCGCCCCGCGTGCTCACACATGCGTGTGCACGTCCTCAGACTAGGCTACCGAAAGCGTGCCTGTGACGGTTGCCCAAGCTGTCCTTTCAACCAGGGGGAGATGAAGGAAACATTTTTTCTTCTCTTCTTCCTTAATTAAAACCTCCTTAGGAAGGTCCCAGCCTTGTTCCCTGGTTTACTTCCCACAGCTGGACTTTGCTTGGCAGCTGGCTAGCCGGACCTTTTATACAGGAGGACACTCAGGCAGTGGAGTTCAGGTCAGCCTCTTCCACTAGGAGGTCACCAAGTACCTTCTCTATCCCCAACTTTAAGGACACGCGCCCACTTCCCCAAGCACGAGCTCAGGCTCTTCTGGGGATAGTAGAGGCTTTTTGTAAAAGTTCTTCTTTTTTTTTAATGTAACATTGCCACTGTCTGCTATGGAATCTGAAGTCCACCATGGCTCCCCATTTACACTACAAACCGTACCCTCTCCGTACTACATTCTTCTTATGTCTACCTCATATTCACACTGCCCCTTCTCCATCTTTGATCTTGGCACACAGAGGTCCTGCAGCTTGCAAAGCCCCACTCTTGCTCCTATATCCTTTGAGTCTCTCCAGGTGGGGCTGGATGTGACCCCCGGTCTCCCACGGCCACTCAACAGTAGCTTTGAGCTTGCTCTCTCCACAGGTGCTGGGAGGATAGCAGGGACCAAGTCAGTATTATGGCTCAGGGATGTTTGCTGAATGACTGAATGACCAAAGAACAGGCAGTGGCTCTGAGCAGAGGTTCTCAGACCAAAGGTTCTCAGGAATAGCTGCACTTAGCAGGATGTCCTGCCTCCAGCCCGCTGCTCCCAGGGGCTTCCTTCCCTAGAGTGTGCTCAGTGATAAGATGCCAAAAGCCAGGTGAGGCCAGACATTGATTCGGGGTGAGGACAGGGCTGGGAGGGGACAGCATTTCCTTCTGGACCTGCCAATTTTGCCCACTCAGAACCTCCAGGGCCCCCAGAGGCTGCTGGGAGGGGAGAAAACAGGCCAGACCAGCTCAGCCTGGCACTGGCCATCCCCTCCAGGATCCCCCCCCCCACTCCCTGCCACAAGGGGCCCAGAGGACTTTGTCTCCACAGCGCCCAGGGCTGCGATCCGGAACAGTGATAGGGACTAATTGCAGGAGACAGCCAAGCGGGCCTGGGGCCAAGGGCCGTTATGAAAAGGAGAGGAAAGAACAGAGACAGGCGGGTGGGGGTGGGGTGATGAGAGCCAGAACCCCACACTGGGGGCCCAGTTCCAGTCCTGCGCTGCTGCTTCCTACCTCGGTGACCTTAGACAAGGCCCTGACCCCCCTCTGACCTCCACTGTGTCCACCTGCAGATGGGGAGAGCAGAATGTTGTCTGTAGGATGGGTTCAGCACCATGATGCTGTGTGGTGAGTTCAAGGCCCACACGGGGCAGCTGTGGCCCAGGGGCTCCCCTGGGGCCTGCAGACACCAGGTCTTCGCAATGTCCTCGCCTCCACTTGGGGATAGATTGCCAGGCTGTACATTTTACAGAGGGAAACTGAGGCTCCCAGAGAAGCCACCTGCCAGGTCTGTGACCGCAGAGCAGGTACTGGAAAACCTGAAGAGAGGCTGGGCGGATGGCATATCTACCCTCTGAGCCTAGGATTTGCCCAAAGGAAGCCAGGATGCTGGTGACAATGATGCTGGCTGGAAACCCACAGTCACAGTGCTAAGATGAGTAGTTCAAAGAAACCACTTCAGGGTGGGAGGGACCTGGGGGGGGCAGGATGCAGCGCCATCAGGGACTAGGGGGCTGGCAGGAGCAGTGATAAGCAAAGCAGCTCTGCACCGCCCTGGCACCCTGGTTCCGGGGGCTCAAAGTCTTACTGCATTCCTGGGGCTGGGGGCGGCCCCTTGGATGCCTTCCTGGGGCCAACCCCTCCCCAGGCACAAAGCCTCTTTTCTGCCCTCAGTCCCTTGGCTGCCAAGGGATGCCTGGGGCACCGGGCTGGGGGTGGAGGGAGGGCTAATGGGGTATGGCATCGCTGTGCTGTGTCCGAGATGCTGGGCCAGGGCCACAAAGGGACGTCCTGGGAGCCCAGGACCACCGACTTCTCTGGCTCCAGGTCCCTAACCTACTCAAACACTGGTGATAACAGGAGCTGCCATACGTGTCCTTTCGCTGGTCACACAGGGGACTGTACACTTTCAGAGCAGGGGATGAGACGGGGCACCGGTGGCTCACGCCTGTAATCCCAGCTATTTAGGAGGCAGAGATCAGGAGGATTGAGGCTCGAAGCCAGCCCTAGGCAAATAGCTCACAAGACCCCATCTCAAAAATACCCAACCCAAATCAGGGCTGGTGGAGTGGCTCAAGTGGTAGAGCGTCTGCCTAGCAAGCGTGAGGCTCTGAGTTCAAACCCTAGTACTGCCCAAAATGAAAACAACTAAAAACAAAGCTGGGGGGGAGATGAGGAAAAGAAAGGGAAACTGAGGCCCCATCTGTTCAATGCCAGAGCCCCAAACTCCTAACCATGACCTGCTAACTTTTAAGGTGACAACCTGTCTTCCTCCTCCACCTGGGCCTGCTGGTGCCTGGAGAGACCAGCTGGTGCCTCTCTTCTTCTTAGGCTCCGTCTCCTTAAGGGAGCAAGAGCATTGCTACAGTGACAATGGGCAAGGGCTACAGTGACAGATGGGGTAACAGTCCCCAGTGACCTGCCCCCAACCACAGTCTTTTTCCCACCCAGGAAGCCCTGGGGGTGGGTGAGGAGCACTGGTTGGGAGGCCCTGCCTTGGCCTGGCTGGAGGGGAGTCCGGGCTTAAGCTCTGTCAACCAACCTGATCCCAACCCTGGGAAGTCTGAGTCCGTAATCTGTCATCTTAGCACCTGGGATCCTGAGAGCTTGTGCCCAAGCCCCGGGCGGGTCATATTCCAGCACTGAGCTCATGAAGCAGGGATCACAATGGCAACTGGGAAGGTTTGGGGGGGCAGGGGGGCAAGGGACGCAGGAAAGGTGCCCAATTCACAGTGCCAGCCATGATCGGCACACTGTGACACCTGCCTCGTGGCCATCCCCTCTAGTCTCTGATGCCTTGGTCACTTCCATTCTGCAGGCTGGCCCATGTCACCTGCTTCTGCAAGCCCAGTAGGCGCCTGCTGGCCCCTGACCACTGGGAAAGGGGGAATTTCTGAAAAGAATTAAAGAATTGAGGCCGCAGGGGGTGGAGGCCAGGAAGGCCTTTGAATGGGATGAAAAGGGCTGACACTCCACGTTGTCTGCTTTGGACAAGGCAGCCGGCCTTAGCGAGGGGATCCCGGCAGGGGCAGGGGCAGGGGCTGCAGGCAGAGCAGGGACCAGGACAGGTTCAAACATTGCTATGAAGACCAGAAAGGCAGATTAGGCCTTAGCTTAGGCCTTAGGTGACTAGCCGGTGAGCACAGTCAGTCTCCAGCCTCAGTTTTCTTCTCTGTGGAATGGGGACAGCTCTCGCTACCTCCTTCAGTCCTTCAAGGACAATGCCAGGTCCTGGAAGACACTCCACCAAGGCCGGCAGAGAGAGAGTTCCTGGCTGCGAGGGGCTGTCACAGAGCAAGATGGGTCACTGTCCAAAATGCCAGGTCCCTGGGGAGCCTCTGACATTGACCCCAGAGGCTGAGACTCCACCCCAGTCCTTCCTCCACGGGAAATAAACAGACTAACACTAAAAAAAGCCAGGAGCAGGGAAAAGGGGGGTTGGGAGGGTCCCCGAAGGGTGGGCTAAGGGGTGTCCCTGGCCTTTCCCATGTGCACAGCCAGGGCCACAGAAGTCCTCGAGGAGTTGGCCCTCATAGCGGCGCTGAAAGGGACAGAGATTGTGGGGAAGGCTGTCCCCCAGGACATATGGCTAAGGGACTCCACAATCCCAGAAGCCTTGGTCAGACAGCCCGGGTCCCTGTCCCCACCCGGCCAGGCATTCAGGTGGGGGACAGGGTGGCCCTTACCATCCCGGGGCTGCACGGAGATGGGGCTGTGCCTGGCTTCCCGTCCCCAAGCCGGGCTGGCAGGGCACGGCGGAGGGGGAGCCCCTACCTGCGTCCGGAGAACGGGGCGCCCCCGATGCCCCACGCGGCGCCGCCTCCAGGGAGCAGGAGGAGTCCGAGGCAGAGCAGCGCCCAGGCCCGCGGGCCGCCCATGCTGCGCCCCGCACCGTCCGCGCCCGGCCCTCGCCGCCCCGCCCGCCAGCAGCGCCCCGCCAGAAGCCGGGACGCGCGGAGCCCGGTCCCCAGCGGCGGCGGCGTGGGCGGGGCGTGGGCGCGCGAGGCGGGCGTGGGAGGGGCATAGCGGGCGTGGGCGGGGCGTAGAGGACGTGGGCGGGGCGAGGAGCGCGAAGCGGGCGGAGGCTGGGGAGTGAGCGGGGCGTGGCGAAGGTGTGGGCGTGGCCGAGCGGACATGGGCGGGGCTAGGGGCGAGAAGCGGGGGGGAGGCCAGAACGTGAGCGGGGCGTGGCGAAGGTGTGGGCGGGACCTAGAGGACGTGGGCGGGGCGAGGGGGCGCGAAGCCGGCGGAGACAGGGGACGTGGGCGGGGCGAAGTGTAGGTGTGGGCGGGGCGTGGGCGGGACCGCGCTTGAGCAGCACGCAGCCCCGCCCGACTCCTTCTCCAGGATGCTCGCCAAGTGCCCACCTGCGCCCTCCCACGTGTTGCAGATTGGGGAAACTGAGACCCAGGCTACCGTCCCCCGAGGCAGCCGGGACCTGAGCGAATGATGTCGGGGACTCATCCCTTCACATCACTGCGGTATCCACCCATTCCATCCAACAAAGGATTTCTGCGCAGGGTGTGCTATTGCACCCCCCCACTTTCACATCTTGTCCCCCTTCATCTTCTAACCACTCCGTGCCAGGTGGGCGCAGTTATTCCCATGCTACAGATGAGAAAAGTGAGGCCCCGGCACTCATGGTCCCCCTGGGTCCACTCTTACTCCCTCTTTACAGGTGGAGAAGCTGAGGCACAGAGCAGTGATGTCATCTACCCAAAGCACCCTGGCAGGGGTTGGCAGTGTCGGGATTTGAACCCAAAGCCACACACCGAGCCCTGCCCACCCCACTCTGACTCCCAGGACCACCATTCCTGGACTCAGGACATCTAGGTCTAGACCTGAAGCCATCCCCAGTATCCCTGCCTGTTCTCCGAAGTGGGAGACAGTAAGAGCTGGGTTCAAACCCTCCTTCTGACAGTTCCACCAGAGTTAGCTTCACCCGTCCTACCCCTCCCTGAGTCTGTTTCTCTTTAGTCTTTTCTTTTTCTCTTTTGAGACAGGGTCTGGCCCAGGCTGGCCTTGAACTCTTGATCCTCCTGCCTCCTGAGAGCTCAGATTACAGGTGGGTGCTATGATGCCCAGCCTCGGTTTTTCTTTTGTAAAGAAGACAGTTGTTTGTTCCTTACAGGGGTGTGGGCAGGGTTGAGAGGTCCCCTGGTTCACACGGTCCCCCAGGGGTCCCCACTTCCTCCAATGGCGCCACCACAGTGCCAACTCTGTCCCCTCGAGGAGGCCTGCCTCTCTCCCGTGGGAAATTGTTGGGCACTTGCTATGTTGCCACGTCACTGATCCTAAAAAGATGCAGCTTCCTGCCTCTGGTTAGCCCTTGTTTGTTTGTTTGTTCTGTGGTGCTGGGAACCCGGAGCCCAAGTGCTCTGAGCACCACCCCTCATATTTGGGGTTTTTTTGTTTTTTGGGGTTTTTTGGCGGGACTGGAGTTGGAACCCAGGGCTTCCCAGTTGCAAAGCAGGCGCTCTACCACTTGAGCCACTCCTCCAGTCCATTTTAGTTATTTTGGGGATAGGGTTTCTGGAACTATTTGCCCAGGCTGGCCTCGAACTACGATCCTCCTGATCTCAGCCTCCCAGGTAGCTGAGATCACAGAGCCGAGCCCTGGTGCTCAGCCCCAGCCCTTGCTTTTGACATAGTTAGCCCAACAGCCCATGACTCATCTCTCCTGTGGGGCCATCTCCCAAAACGGTCCTGTCTGAGGCTCTGGTCAAGTGGCCCAGATCAAAAGCCATCAGTACCAGGGACAATGTGAAGAGCAGGTAGCTGTTTGGGGAGAAGCAGGTCTGACAGTAGATAGCTATAGCCAGAATCTATCTATGTAGACTAAGTGGTTACCGAGCCGCTCAGTTCCGTAACTACCACTGAAGGCTGTGTGTCCTGAGGCAAGTCACTTGCCCTCTCTGAGACTCTTCCTTACCTGAGAAAAAGGGACTTTTTATGGTTCCTCTGGCTCAAGAGGCCATGTTCCTGGTAAAGTGTGACAGGTTTGGGTCTCCTTGCAGTGGTCTTGGGGTACAGCCAAAGCCCCCTGTTTGGGCTCACTTTCCTATTAGATATCAGCCTCCTTCTGGTCCCCTCTCCCAGCTGAGCAGAAAGGCAGGAAGTGCCACCAGGGCCTGGGTGTTTGTCATTTGAGGTTTCAGTGTTTGCTGAGACAGGGAGAAGAGGGGCTGGCTGGCTTGAGATTTTGGGCCTGTCCCCGCAGGTGGGGCCTGTCCCCAGGGGAGCCTGGTCCCCTACACTGCCAAGACCAGACCACAAGTTCTGGTATTGACAGCAGCTTCCGTTCCAAGTGCTGACCCGGGGCCAGGTGCTGCAGTAAGCATTTTGCTTGCGTCCTGTCCTCTTCTCTGCCACCAGGGAGGCTGCCTGATTGTCCCCAGATGTGGGGCTCGGAGGGTGCAGGGAGACCATGGCTAGTGAGGGATGGGATACTGGTCCTGTGTGCCACCCACCAAACCTCACTGTCACCCTCTGGCCCAGCCCTGCAGGGGGGCTCCTGCCATCTGAGGTTCCCAGAGGCCAGGAGCACACATGGACAACAGGGACCTGGACTCACGCACTTAGGGACCACACAGGCCGGGGAGAGATTCCCTGACCCGTCCAGCCCGGCCTACTCCAAACAGGAAATGCTTTCCTCCCAACAAACAAACATGGCCTCAGTCTCCTTTCCCTGGGAATTCCATCTGGCACCTCTGTCCTCCCACACTGTCTCAGGGGACAGCCTGCCAAGCTCGGGGTGCTCCACAGTGCCAGCCCGGTTCCCACACCAGCTCTGGAGTCCAAAGCACCCAATCTGATTCATACCCCTAGCCCAGGGGGACAGGTGGTGCCTGGACCCCATGGTGGCAGCCCCCAGTGGTCCAGGCCTGATGGCAGGGAAAGTCCTGGATGATGGAGAAAGGGAAGGGTCTTCAGGGGCTGCCGACACAAGCCGGGCACAGTGGCTCACACCTGTAATCCCAGCTACATGGGAGGCTGTGATCAGGAGAATCGTGGTTCCAGCCCAAGCCAGGCAAAAAGTTTGCAAGACCCCATCTCCAAAATAAGCAGAGCAAAATGGACTGGAGGTGTGGCTCAAGGGGTAGAGTGTGAGCCCTGAATTCAAACCCCAGTCCTAGCCGGGCGCTGTGTCTCACACCTATAATCCTAGCTATTCAGGAGGCAGAGATCAGGAGGATTGAGGTTTAAAGCCAGCCCCGCAAATAGTTTGAGAGATCCTACCTCGAAGAAACCCATCACAAAGAAGGGCTGGTGGAGTGGTTCAAGGTGTAGGTCCTGAGTTCAAGTCCCAGTACTGCAAAAAAAAACAAAAACAAAAACAAAAAACAACCCAAGGTTGTCTAGCCAGAGGGCTGGGTCTTCCCACTCCTTTCCGTGTTAAGAGACAATTTGGGGTCTCTCATGGCCTTTGGTCAGGGTGGCTGGCCCCATTGTCCTGACACTCACAGGAGGAGGTGTTCCGCTGGCCCAGGCCACTGGGAACCCCCAGCCTGCAGCCCAGAAGGGAGGGAGGGGAGGAAGGAAACTGTCGGAAACTCATAAATTAGGGCTCTGGGAGTCCTTCCTGCCCTCTGCAGGAATCCTCGGGAGTGTCCTGTTCTTTTGGGGTGGCATGGTGGGGGGGCAAGGAGTGACACTAGAATGACAGGGCCAGGCACGAGCCAGCATGGCAGGACAGGGCGCCTGCATTTGGTGTTAGGATCCTGGACGTTCTGACATCCAGAGTCCTTTCTGTGCCTGTCCCCCATCTGGAAAAGGAGGGTGACGTGAGAACTGTCCAGTGATTGCTTTGTTGACCGGGAAGGGATGGAGAGCAAGAGGTCTAAACCTTCCTCCAGCTCCTCACCCTTCTCACCCCCCCATCCTATCCTGGGGGGTTCCTTACCCTGCTTCTCTTTGCACACCTCCCTTCCTGCAAAAATGGACTCTTTGGGTCTCAATATGCAGAATTCACCTATCTAGGAGTAGAGGGAGGAGCTGGCTGCTCATTCATACTACAGTGTGAGTGACTGATAGGTTTGATGTTATTTAATGTTGTCAGATGAAGGGGCAGATATCCCTCCTCATTGAAATCCCGAGTCACGGGTAGCATTTTAGGCTGGCGAGGGGGGGATGTTTGCTGAGTGCGGGAAGGTGGCTATCTCCCAGGCCCCAGGAGGCAAAGACCACTGCCCTGTTGGGTCCATCTCGAGTGGTGGCCCTTGGGACTCATGGATCCGACACTTGGGGAGAGAGAGTCAGAGATATAGTGAAAGATGCTGAAAAAAGAGAGAGCTGGGCTGGGCACGGTGGCTCACACCTGTAATCCTGGCTAAGTAGGAGGCAGACATCAGGAGGATCGCAGTTCGAGGCCAGCCTGGGCAAATAGTTCTCAAGACCCTATCTCAAAAACACTCATCACAAAAAGGGACTGGTGGAGTGGCTCGAGGTGAAGGCCCTGAGTTCAAGCCCCAGCACTGCAAAACAGAATATCGTTTACGGATGAATATTTGTGCAGGGAGACATTTAAGAAGGCACAGAGGCAAGAAGATATTTTCTTACTAATCACGAAGGGCTGTGAATTTCAGGTTTTGTTTGGGTGGTTGGTTTTGAGACCAACCAAACTTCCTGGACTCAGTTGCTCCTCCTGCCTCAGTGTCCCGGGTGGCTGGGATTACAGGCATGCACCACCACGCCCGTCAGAAACTTCAGACGTTTTCCCAGTGACTTTCTTGCAACAGAGGAACCGCGCGTGACTTTCCCTCCATGCTCCTGAGCAAGACTCGTTCTCGGAGACGGGACGACCAGGGGGGACATTTTCCCGCTCAGCTGCTGTCTGAGGGAGCCAGGGCTTGGAAAAAACTGTAATGACACAGGAATT